TAGCCGCAAACGTCCGTGCCGTATAGCGTGAATAACCCTGTATAACTATACATGCATTTTAGGCCCGAAACTGATGGGAGATCATCTGCCTCTTCGGGCTATCACTCCCGAGCGACAGAGAGTAAGAAACAAAATTGTGATGTATCACAATTACTTTAGGTCAAGGGTTGAACCGAAAGCGAGCAACATGCTGAAAATGGTAGGCGTTTCGCTACTTTTCAGTATATTTAGTTACTTGTGGCTTCAAAAGAATATAAATTCACTGCCTAAACTTATTACTAATGAAGGTGTTTTTGAAGAAATGGCATAGAGGTGCAGCAAGAGACGCCCAAAGATGGGCTAACAAGTGCGAGTTTCTTGTTCACGATAGCGTAGAAGGTCGGCACGTCAGCGGCTATGGTTCTTGTGGGCAAAATATCTTCATCGCCAGCACCAAAGTTCCTTGGTAGGTAACTGAACTGTCATATTTTAAAATGTTATAAATTACCGCTAGAGTCCGTCCCTAAACGGAACAACGTCGTAGTTGCAACAATGATGTTGCAAGCCGAGATTCTTGGATCGAACTATGAACAAAAATTTCCATAGACCGACAAAGAACTTTCGTAATAAAAAACCACTTTTTATTATTTCAAGCAAAATAAATCATGAATAGTTGATTCCGTGACAAATTCGCAGGAGAATTTTTTTTTTTTTAGTTTAGCCATGTTTTAGCAGCGCTTTGAAACATCGTCTGAGTTACCGTTTTACATGCAACCAAAATGTATTAAATCCGTTTTAAACTGCGTCTTTTTGCAAACACTTGATACCTATAATCATTGCGATGTCGTACAGAATACAAAATTATAGCATTTATTACAAAAAAGAAAAAAATTATTTAACAAAAGCATGAAGGTAATGAGAAACAAATTTTGATATGGCAAAAAGGATATTCTCAAACTGAAACATGAAACCGGCGAAACAATAACAACAGGGAAGAAACCTGAGCTGAGCTTGAGATCAAAACGCGCATGTAAAATTTTGATTTTTGGCCGAAATTTTTCTCAGGGTGGGGGTCGATTTTTTGAAAATTTTTAAATTTTCTCAAAATGTCTTAAATTTTCCATCATTTTCATTTCAAGGACGCGGGGAATGTATTAAACTCATTGAAAGACTTGCTAGACGTTTCAGATCCAAAATAATAGACATTTTAAGCGTTTTTTGAACGTTTACGATCTTTATCCGACGATTTCTTCCTTATTATTGACCCAAACACTGTATAAATGCACATTTGTGACCTTCTTGTGTCGAAAGGAATCGATTGAGCTCAAAAAACACGCATGTGAAATTTTGATTTTTGACCGAMATTTTTCTAAGGGTGGGGGTCGATTTTTTGAAAAAATGAAAATTTTCTCAAAGTGTCTTAAATTTTCCATCATTTTCATCTCCCGGACTCGGGGAATGCATTAAACTTATTGAAAGACTTGCTAGAAGTTTCAGATCCGAAATAATTATTTCGGATCTGAATATATTCAGAGCCAATTTCGTTCCAAACTGTTGCAAATACGAATTTTCTTATAGACAGTGAACGTGTCGAGAATACGCTTTGCGAACAATCTGATGTTCTGTTTTGAAAATGAGTTAATCGCGGTAAAATTCGAAGTATTTTGTTCGGAAAATCGTCTTTTCGACCTTAACCGATTGCAATTTTCCGAGATGCAGTTTTTATGGAAAATCGTGCGTTTCTCCACAAATTTGAAAATTTTCAAATCGGCCCGATGTTAACAGTTACGCAGAAAATTTCCACATGCAAAAACCTTAAATCCATAAAAAAAAACATTGATAACATTTGTCTTGAAAATTGGTCTTTTCGACTTTCAAACTCTAATGACGGTCAAGATTCTCAACTGATTTCAAGTTTGCAAAATACGATTTTTAGACCAAACCACTAGTTTTACAATAAATTTTTAATGATCCAAATCGGACCCGCATTAAGAGAGTTACGTATCAAATGAATTAAGGATCTAAGTTAATAAAAACCTGCAAAGTTCTTTACGTAATTCAATTACGAAGTTTTTATTGTAAGCTGATAAGAACACTTTAATTTGGCAGTATTTCTTCGTTCAAGGCTCTTTGCAATCGAAACCTGGTGGCTTGAAAAGGATGCCTTCAAATTTGGGGGCAAAAATAACATGACGCTTGTAGGACACTATACACAGATGGTATGGGCTACAACACATGAAGTAGGATGTGGCCTTTCAAAATGCTATAGAATATTGTACGACAAAAATGGGAAAGAAATTGACGGAAGAACACGAGTTTTTTACAATTATATTTGCAACTACTGTCCGATGTAAGTTTAAATGTTATCCGTACCTAACTAACATTATCCTGCAAAAATTTGTCTAACTATACATGTTTATGTGTTAACCGTTATGTGGAATTTCAATGTCCATTATTCTCCAAGTTGACGCTTATTTTAACGTTAACAAGTAACGCGGCCATCTTTTACATTTTACTATGCAAATATCACCTTTGCGTTTAGTAAAAAGTACAGGAATCGTAACGATGAATGTATGGAAATTATACAGATAGAATTAACAATGCATATGGAAACAATGGCTTCTGAAATCATCTCTCATACCTAATGGAGTGATAATCGATCAAAAATAATAAAAATTAAAGAACTAATAGTTGGCTGTTGTACCAACAAAGTTCCAGAAGTTGTTGCCAATGTACAGGAAGGCACATGATTAACCAAAAGATCTAAAAGATTTACAACTGTAAACATGCACCATTAAATTCATTTTATTGTTGGGCAATAGTTAATGTTTACATCTACAACATCCTCAACAACAGCTACACGACACAAATGAATTGCTTTTAAGAAGCGTAAAATTTTGGGCATTCAAGCTCCATTTAATACAAAATATGTTGTCAAATCACCAACTGTACGAGTATTAATTTTATGTTCGACTCAAGTATCTCTTCGGCCTATTTTCAGTCAATTTACGCAGTAAATGAATCATAAAACTGTTCAATATTTCAATGCATATTCAAAAACATATTTAGAATGGAACAATATTCATGTTCCGCATGCAGATAGAAGATGATTTCAGCTTGGCAACTTAGTGAATCTTAGTACTAAAGTGCCATGAAAATCACTGTTACGACGACAAAGAAAGATTAATTTGCTATTTTCCCAATACTTAAAAGCAATACATTAATGATCATCTAATTTTCTACATGTAAATTGGATTCTTATAGTTATTAAGAGCTGGCAAATGTTTTAAACTTTTAGTACCTATAGCAATCCCCAAAATTGGCACATCTCGATTATGAGTATGAGTCGAGTTAAGAATTAAAAAATGTGCGCTTTCCAAAAATGTTTTCCACGATTGTTAGAACGCAAAAACCGCGGTTTCACGGGGGAACTTCATTTGAAATGGGGAATTGAACCGGAAACTTTTATTAAGAAAATCGAAAACATGACATGCAAACCTTTAGTATATGAAATTGGATTTAATATTGTAAAAGTATTGAGTTTTAATAAGCAGAAAATGTTATTTTTATTCGAATGAATCGAAAAGTGCCATTTTTCGAACAGAAGCGATGGTCGAAAAGAAACACTTTTCTTTTCTGTTCAATTGTTTTACTTTTATGCACGGACGCTTACGCGCATGTGCGCAAAAGTAAATGTGACAAATTGAACGCGTCACTGTCATAAAATATTTTAACGTATTTTCATTAAAAAGTAACCGGCAGGCTTTTAAAATGAATTACGTAGGTTTAGGAACTATTGATCATAATCTACTTTGAATTTGTAAACAGTTCAGTCTCAAAGTCGTTCAAACGGTCTATTTTTCTGCGCTCGCCGATKTTGCCGCATGCAAAACACGATTTTTTTAAATAGCGCAAATTTYATGCAAAATATGCATCTCATACAAACACCATACCGTGAAAGCAGCTCTGGGATTTTCAACACTCATTGTTTCACTTGTATATGCTTACAAAAGTACGCTTTTGAAAAATTACAAACGTCAAAACATGACAATTTCAAAAATGGCATTGACACCAAATTTTAAATATGAAGTTGACGGCTGTTGTTTTTATTTGTTTTAACTTATTATTCGTGCTATATCCTTTATTCGAATAAAAAAAATTGTTCGATACGGGGACGAAAAACCGTTTATCGAACTCCTGACGGATTGACAGCATCAAACGCCGTCGTGGTTCGAAAAACGACACTTTTCGCCCTTGCATCGAAAAGTACTATTTTAGTGGTAATCGTCCCGGTCGAACGTCGTTCCCTTACAAGTTGGGCAATCCATGCAGTTCCTGCAAAAAGCAATGCAGCAAGAAGCTTTGCCTTAATTCCTGTGATGTGTCAAATGTGTGGGGCAACTGCAGGGAGCTCAACAGGATTCATCCCACCTGGTTGTGCAGAAACCACACACCGCAAGGCAAGCATCGACATCGCAATTGTAGAGCAACATGCACTTGTGGAAATAGAATATATGACTTTTAATATACGCCGGTTTTCGCCCATATTAATTTGATTTGCCTTAACCCCATTGTSCGACAGATATTTTAATAGGGCTACMTCMTGTGGCAATCAACGAAAAATACCATAATTTATTCGTTAAGTGAGAAGTAAGTTWAGTGCTGCCGCAGCTWCACAWYCMCKKASTWGKGCKMSCTGGA